CGGCGCTGGGAAACCAGCTCCAGGAGCGCTCACCACACCCAGCCCTTCCGAGCGAGACTGAGGAAGGGTGCGCTTTGGTGAGGACCTGGCCCACTCCTTCTGCGGACCAGAGATGGGGCGAGGCGGCTGGATGGGAGAGGCAGACCTCCCGAGGGAATCCACGGGGTTCNCCAGTCCCAGGACACCATTACCTGGGCGGGGAAGGGGCGAGGGGCGGACGGGTGGGATGAGCCAGGCTGTAGTCCTCAAGCTATTCCCGCTGTCCCCCCTGCCCCGCGCATTCCGCGCAGTCCCNACGTCTCTGTCCAGATCAGAGGGAGCCATCGCCTAGGATCAAGCTGGGAGGCAGAGAGAGTGGGCCTGGGAAATACCCATATATTAGGGGGGAGCAGGGGCAAATTCTCCCTTAATTTCCAAGTTAGTCACTGATTTTTTTTCAAAGAAAGCTTCTCAAACTGCAGTCGTCTTTTATCCTAACGCACCATTTCTCTTTAGGTAAGTGTGCACACTTTTAAATAGTTTGGCTAAGAGCAACTCATGTAATGACCAAGGCTCAACGCTGAGGGTTCTCACAGGTCCGTGGATGAACATCACTGTATTTGGCCACCAATTGTCTTATGACTGGATGCTCCATTCACATNGGGGTGGGGTGGGGGGTGAGTCAGAGTGAAAACTGTTACCGAGATGTGCTCCGGGGAGGCTTTCACGCCCAGCGGGGGGTCGAGGGCGCGGAGTCGCCAGGCGGTCTCGGGAGCCTCGTTTGCGCGCTGAGCCACTTAGAGGCGCTGGCTGCCCCTCTGAGCAGCGGCCGATGCTAAGGACTCGAGGTCTCCCACGGCCCGAAAGTTGACTCCCTCAGCCGGGGACCGAGCACAGCTTCGCTGGGGGGCTCTCGGGGTTCTCTCCGCCGTTCAGCTCTCCGCGCCCACGGGGAGCGAGGCCTCTGCGTGGCCCAGACGGTCCCGCTCCCTCAGCCCCACCCACTCCGCTGCCTCGAGGGAGTCCGCGGGCTTGGGGGTGAACCGGCCGTGTGCCCGCTGCCGTGGACAAAGCAGAGCCGCGCTTAAGGGGCAGGGGAGACAGGCTCGTTTTCACCCAGGGCTGGGGACGCGGTGGGTCGGGGCTGGCAAGGCAGGGACAGGGTCAGGTGCGCGGGGCGTCGGGAGGCTTCTCGCGGCGGAGGCCGCCCTCGGGACGCGCAGGC